TAAGATAATTGCATAAATTAAACAGATGCTTTGATTCATGGGGAACTTAAGATCTTATTAAAAATTCTCTTTCTGATTTAGATTTAGATCAAAAAGAGACATAATGACAGGTTGCAGATAATCTTTTAAAATTAAACTCTCTTTTTTTGTATCATGGTTTATGGAGAATATGACTGGTTTCCTTTTAGTAAAGAATGCCATGGTAAGAAGAAATTTTTTTAAAAAATGTATAAAGTGCTCAAGGGAAGTTGAGATTCAAATGAAGTAGGACACACTGCACTGCCAATGCTGAAGCAAGCATATGTACTCTTCTTTTTGAAATTCCCTCAGAGAATATGGTGCTTTACTACCTTAAAAGGCCAAATGGTTGTGATTAACCTTGAAATATAAGTCTCTGCAGATGAAAAACACAGTTTGTAGCCCAAGGATAGCACATCAAGGATGATATCAACTCATATTCCTGCTCGGATAGTGGTTTTGAGATTGGTTAATGACCATTTGTTAGGAAAGTTAAAGTTACTATAGATTTAAAAATGGATTCATTCTCTAAAGTGTCACATCGAAATAAGGGCTCTCTTTTGTAAGCTGAGGTATTTGCCATCTATACTTAGGTAATTTTGATAAAAACAATATTCTTTTACACCATCGGCCCCCCCTTCTAGAGAGAATCATTTTTCTGGATGGTTTGGCCTCTTCACTGCCATAATAATCTATTAATTAGCCTAACCAGCTGCTCATCTGGTCCCCAGAGCATTTTGGAATTCCCCCATTCTCGGTCTGGATCAGAGAGAATAACCCCACATTTCTTTTCTTTAACTCTATCACTGTTGACAGTGGTAAGTCTATTCTGTGGTACGCTGATAACCATCTATTTCTCTGGATACTGTGCAGCCTACTTTCTATTGAGTCAGATTAGATCATCAGAAAACTCTGCACTTGGACCCCATGAGCTGAGGCTCTTTTGCTGAATTACATGTTATATTATACTCATGGCTTTATCCAGGGATTGTTTAAAAAAGATGTAACATAAAATTCCCTATTGCTTATGTAATTAAGAATATTGCTTTGTACCTATCACTCTGTATTCCATATATAAAGTCTAATATGAGGAATTTCTCTCAGAGTTTAGGGGAAAGGGAAATTTGTTTTCTTTGATAAAGGGTAATTATCCAACTTTTAGATAGTAAAAGATATATGATTTACCCTATTTATGTATTTACCTGAGCCTTGAGGCACAGGGGCAAATTTGAATGTCAGTTGTCACAATTGCATCAACAAATTTTATAAATTAATTTAAACAGTAGTCATTATGTACACCAGGAGTCAGTAAACGATGGCCCTTCTATTCTTGTAAATAAAGTTTTACTGGAGCACAGCCATGGTCTGTGGCTGCTTTCCTGCTACAATAGCAGACTTCAGCAGTTGCTGTTTGACCCTTTACTGAAAAATACTAACAATCCTAATGTAAGTGGTCACTCGGTGGCATGGGTCAGACCAAATGCAGCAGCACTGAAAGAATGAAAAAAGCAAGGTGGTTACTAAGATGTGACTACTTGGGAATGTCTTAACAGAGAAGATGAGCTGCGAAAGGCATTTCATCTTTAAATATGGGAACATAGAAGGGCATGTGTGGGAGAGAGCAGCGTAAGTAAAATCTCTTAGGAATGAGCAGATTTTGAGGGATATTTTGAAAATGGTTTTAGCCAGATTAGAATTAGCCAGTAGTGAAAATGCAGTTGTATAGGTGAGATGGATGCTGGAGGGCTTAAAAACCAGCAGTGTATGGGATGAACTCAAGCAAGACTAAGCAGTTACTGAAATAAGACTAGCATAAGGTACTCAGATGATGGGTATAGAAATGGAGAGGGAAAGTAGGCTCCAAGAAGCTGGAAAGAGTGAAGTCGACTTTGGGACTGCCTGCACTTAGAGAATGGTGGGAGGGAGATTGTGAGAGGAGAACTGGGAAGAGATGAACTGAAGTGTGAACAGTTCTTCTGAGAGAAAATATGTTTTGATTTGACGTGTCCAATTTCTGGTGTTTTAGAGCCTTAGAAGAGAAAGTAGGGAAGTGTTTGGAGATACGGACGAGACAAAGGCTCTGGGAGAGTTTACATAGGGGAAGAAGCACAAGGCCAGGGTCTTGGGGGTGCTTTGGGGAAGGAAGATGGAGCTCTGGAAGCAGAGAGGACAGGAACAGGAATCAGTAGAGCAGCGTTTCACAAGGTGTGTCCCGGGAAAGGCTGCTTGTATCCACTGTTAACAGGAATTTCAAGGAAGAAAAAAAAAGATGCCATGATCAGATAAGTTTGGGGAACTCTGGGTTAAGCAACCTCTCAGATTCTTTAATAATATGCACTGTTATTCAGGTCTTTCTCTCCAATTATAAATTCATATATTCAATTTCCTATCTGACATCTCTACTTGGACATCTGTTAGGCCTTGAAAACTTACCTGTTCCAAGTGGAATTCCTGGTCTTCCCCCCCAAAACTTGTTTCCTGTCTCAGTTGATGGCAACTGCATATTTTCCTTTTGTAAAGAATGCTGTGGTAAGTAATATGTACATTGTTTTGTTTAATGTGTGAAATGCTCAAAAGAAATGAGACTAAAAGTAAAGTTGTTCGGAGTCATCCTTGACCCTTCCTTTCTCCTGTACGGTCCCCTGATCCTTTAGCAACCAGGTTGGCTCTACTGTCATAGGTACCTGGAATTGGACCACCCTCACCTTGTGATTGGATTAACATCTTACCCCTTTTTGTGTGTGCAGTGGTTTCCTGTTTCACTGAGGATAAACGCAGCAGTCCTTCCAGTAGCCCTCAAGACCCTTTATGATCTGGCTTCTCATTGGCTGTCTGGTTTACCTTTGGCTCTCTGGGTTACCTTTGGTTCTCTGATTTAACATTGGCTCTCCAGTTTACCTTTGGTTCTCTGATTTAACATTGGCTCTCTGGTTTACCTTTGGCTCTCTGGTTTACCATAGGCTCTCTGGTTTACCTTTGGCTCTCTGGTTTAGCATAGGCTCTCTGGTTTACCATTGGCTGTCTGGTTTACCTTTCGCTCTCTGATTTATCATTGGCTCTCTGGTTTACCATTGGCTGTCTGGTTTACCTTTAACTCTCTGGTTTACTGTTGGCTCTCTGGTTTACCTTTGGCTCTCTGATTTATCATTGGCTCTCTGGTTTACCATTGGCTCTCTGGTTTACCTTTGACTCTCTGGTTTACCTTTGGCTCTCTGATGTACCATTGGCTGTCTGGTTTACCGTTGGCTCTCTGATTTTCCATTCTCTTCCTCCTCCATTCTGGCCCTGATTCATCTCTGCTCTTTGTGGAATAGGTATTAAGCGTTTTATTAGTTTAGCGCATTTGTACTCACTGTCTTCTGTGCCTGTGACACTTCCTACAAATATCTGTATGGCTAACAACTCGCAAATGCCACCCTCTCTAGAAAAGACCAACCCTGACAGCCATATTTAAAATAGTGTGTCTTCCCCTCATTTCTCATTCCCTTTACTCTACCTTACTACCTTTTGTTCCCCATACACTTATCACCTTTTAACATGTTATATTTTATTTATTATTATTTTTATTTACTGTCTACCCCTTCCTGCTAGACTGTAAGCTCTGTGAGTATAGGAATTTTTGTCTATTTTGTCCATCGAGGTAGCCTAAGCTTCTAGAACAGTTTCTGACACACATAGGCACCTAATAAGTGTTTGTTAAGTAAATGAATGAATATCCAAGATGGCAATATATGCCCCTAAAAATCCTTTCTTCTCCCATGGAGATCTCTTTATTGTGAGTTTCCCAGGGACACACTTTGGGAAATTCTGTTATGATATCTTATGGAATTCAAAAGGGAAGCATATTTCAAGAAAGGTGAGATTAGTACAACTGGGAAATTGAGATTTTGACCTGCTTAAGATAAAGAGTAGACTTAGATAGGGATCATCATTTGCAGTCTTACAAGTTTCAGTGCTGTGAAAATATCTAATTCAAGGGAGTAAAATTGGACCTAGATGTTGAAGAAGAAAGCTAGGGTACATTATTCATTCAGAGAGGTTAGCTTTGGAAGAAAGGGAGGAAAGTAGTTAGAAAGAGCAAGTTCCACACAAGGTACCTTCAACTTTGAGATAAGGAGAGCTTGGTTTCACAGCCTGTTATTTTTATAAGTAACGTAGAGTACTGTAATGACATGAATTTTTTGAAAGTTATATTGTAATAAATAGGTGACCTAAAGTATCCATTTTGCAGAGTGTAATTTGGTGGGTTCAGTGCTATATGGGAATTGGATGAATTGGGATCCTTAGGAAGTCCTTTTACTAGCTCTGTGCCTCCGATTTATCACCTGCTTTCCTTCATCCTTTTGTATACTTTTTAAATTTTATTTTTGAGACTCCAGTAGGAATGAGAGGTGTGGTGTAAATATTAAAAGTTGGTGCTAATTGCTTTCTGGTTCCTCTTTTATGAGACAAGCAATGTTTTGATGTGTGAGTTTCTAGGTTATTTCTCTATTACCTGAAAACAGCTCACCTAGGCTGTACACTTGTCACTGGCAGTTGGATAGTGTTTAAATGAAAGCTTTTTTCCAAAGCAAAGCAATAGTTTAAACAATTTTGTGAAAGTTTGATTATTTCTCCCTTAGAAGTTTTGATCAATAAAAAATTAATTTCTATTTCAAGCATGCCATTGAACTTTTAAAAATCATGTTATTTAGGCTTGCACGTTTGGATTTTTTGAGGAGGGGTTCTATAGTATGAATTCATCTATCTCTGAATTAGCTCTAATGGGAAAAACAAGGCGTTTGGGGCATTTTAGTTTATCAGCCATGGCATCTAAGGACTGAAGTGGTTAACAGTGAAGTGTGTGGCAGGGATTACTCTGAAGAGCCCTGTGCTTTATTTCCATTGTTGACTTTGGAATGAATTACTTTCACTTTATTTGAGGAATAATTGGTTTGAACTCCTTTTCCGGACTAACAAATATTCTTTTGTTTTGGTTACAGAATCTGCATACATACATGTAAGAGAAGCAAAATGTCAGATGATATCAGGAAAAGGTTTGAATTTCCAAATTCTCTTATTCAATCACAGGTAATTTTATTTATTTACTTGCTTACTTACTTGTGCTTCATGGTAACCAGTGAAGCTTTTTGGAAGTTTGCTGATTGAACTTTATATTTTTAACATTGAATATTTTATTCTACATAGATATCATTTTGTTAAACAACTTTTATATTAGTTAATTTGAAAATTTATATTTGACAAGTAAGTAAATATTTGAATGGACTAATCTCAGCTTCTATTTGTGTCATACTTTCCTCCATAGAAATAATAAAACCTTGATTAACCTCTTGAATATGTATTTTTTGATTTATAATTAATTATTGGGAACTGAAATAAATGGTTATACATCTATAGATATATACATTTACAGAGTATGATAGATTAGTATCTTAAAAGGCATATTCTACCTCTATCCAACTATTAAGAATAAATGATTTTGGCCAGTGTGGCTCTGCTGGTTGGGCATCGTCCTGTGCACCAAAAGGTTGCCTTTTCCATTCCCGGTCAGGACACATGCCCTGGGTTCGGGCTTGGTCCCTGGTAGGGGGCGTGTAGGAAGCAGCCAATCTATGTTTTACTCTTGCATCTATGTTTCTCGCTCTCTCCCGCTCTCTTCCTCTTTAAAAATCTATAAAAAATCTTAAAAATAATTGAAAAAAAGAATAATAGATTTTTATAATAATGATATTTAATAAATAAAATATCCTAGATTAAAAAAACTTCTGTCTATATACTAATTCAGGCAGGAGATTATAATTTATTTTAGAGAGCTTTTCAATTATTAGGGGTAAAACAAAGATGGCTTTCTGGTTAGTGTTTAGCTAACTAGAAGCATTGTGGTTAATCAAGGTACCATAAACGCTTACTGTCTTTTCTCATGAGAGTAAAGCTAAGGGAACAGCAGATGCCTGTCTGAAGACTTAACCACGTACAGTGTCTTGGATACTTTCAACAGTTAACTTTGGAGATGCCTGCTGTGGGAATTGACTTAGCTGGGTAGTGGGGAACCCTTCCATGAGGAGAAGAACACTCCTTATGCAAGATTCCCTTCTGCCTGACTGGGTTGGCCTCATATCCTGCACAGCACAGATCCTTACCATGGAGAAGACGAAGGCTTGGAGAACACTGTCCACAATTTTTTTTTTCTGTGCCTGGAGTCCCTTCATTAGCAAACATAATCAAGTAGAGCCTACGTGTGTTACTGTTAAACTAAGCGAAAAGTGTACGTGTACTGTAGGATCTCTAAAGTATTCTGTTATGGAAAACTAAAGTAACAATGAGGCTGATATATGCTTGGATTTTGTATTTCAGATCAATTTAAGCTATGTTCTCTGATACTAACATCTGTGAGGCTGGGTTGCATCTGGTAATTGATGGCAATAGTCATTATACAGTTAGTATTGACTGTGCATTTGTGAACTTGGCCATTTTCTAAATGAGTCTGAAAGAGCTTTTTCTTAATATAAAATAAAAATTATAAATCATATGAAGCATTGTATAACATATATTAATTGGCAGCCTTTTTTTTTTCCTTCTTTCTTACCGGTACATAAAATAATGATGTATCCTGTAGTTGATAGCTAGCCAGTTACATTCAGTGAAACATGGTATATTTTGTAAACAGAAACCAAAACTATTCACTGGTCCTCAATTCTTGTTACTATCCCTTTAACTAGGAGGTAAAATACAGTTAATTGATCTAAACTTAATATTCATGGAAATGAATGACTTGTTATTGCAGACTGAGACCATCAAGCATTGAGGTCTTTAATCATTTTTAATTTGTGAAATACAAAAAGAGATGAAGGACTGGGTACTGTGTTTTTATTTGAGCTTCTCTGGAAACTATGCAAGACTGACAGGTATTCACAGCTGTATCATACATTGGTCCCAAGTGCAGGATCAACAGTTGTTGCAGTTGCCAAGTATTTCCAACCCCCACACACAAGAGCTGTCATTGTTGCTGGCCTAGGTTCTAAGACAGCAGGGCTGGGTAGTGCTGAAGAGCTACGAGAATGAGGTTGTGGTGGTAGGAGGTAATGATATTTATGTATTTATTAGCCTGAAAGCCTGTTAAAGGGCTAAAACCAATGAGAAAATAATAAAGAAATTAACTCATGGAGCCTAGAGGAGGGAGGATGGGCGTGGTCAGGGGAGACCCATTGGTTCAGGTCTGTGCGGGCGATGGTCAGAGATGGGGATGTGTCTTTTCCACCTTCATTAAGGGCATGATGGAGTTCACTTAGATGCAAAGATGATTTTAAAAGCTGTGGAGTTTATTTGTCTTACGGTTTCATGGATTAGGCAATCTCAAGGTATCTTATAATATTAAGTGACAGCAATTTGAACTGAAAATTAGCAATTTTCTTAACATCTATGAACTTAGTTTGATTATTGGGTTAACAATCAGGATAAAAATGCATACTTGGAGGGTTGTTATGAAGAGAAGAAATTAAGTATGTGTACTGGCTAATTCAGTGCCTTCTACATAGCATATACTCAGTGAATTGGAATTTTATTACCAGTGAACTGTCTGGCATACTCATACTCGTATCAACTAATATTGATATTAGTTACCTTCAAATGCACTATTTGGAGAAAACTTCTAGGGAAATATGTTCATTAATTTTTTTTATTTTTTTTTTAGGCTGTGGGTCATCTTATTGCTGCAGTCCTAAAAGAAAGTGGTTTTTCAGAAAAGATTCATCAATCCACAAACCAGGTCTGTGTTTAAGTTTGTGTTTTACGTTCAGATATTGCTACGAGCTGGACCACATAAGCACTTCTTTTGTTTCTCTCACAGCTCAGATCACTGTAGAAATGATTTGAAACTGAGATGTTTATTGCCTTTTTTTGTTTGTTTGCCATGTTTTTCTTACAAATATTTAAAAATTAAAAAATTTGTGACAACAGACTCCAGGAATAAGATGTGGACAGGGTGAGGGGAGTATTACTATGATTATTAATGAAAAATAACATGGGCGGACTGAGGGTAGGCATGCTTTAGAGAAGGTTGGTAGGGTTACCTCTGAGGGAATTTTTTTAAAAAATATATATATAATTTTTTTATTGATTTCAGAGGAAGGGAGAGGGGGAGAGAGAGAGATAGAAACATCAATGATGAGAGTCGTCATTGACTGGCTGCCTCCTGCACACCCCCGACTGGGGATCAAGCCCGCAACCCGGGCATGTGCCCTGACTGGGAACTGAACCCTGATCTCCTGGATGCTAGGTCGATGTTCAACCAATGAGCCACGCCTGCAGGGTGGGAATGTTTTTGTTTATTAGAGAAAGTGAACATAGTGGCTCTATTTGGGTGTAGGAGATTTTTCATGCTGTAGGTGGCCCCATATATGAAAAAGTCACGCATGGACAATTGGAATTAGGAAAAATTCTTACCATGCAGAGGGCAGGTGAATGCTAAGTATTGAAGCAATGCCAGCCCCCTGAGATTTGTATCGCTTGGGTTTTGGTTGATCAGTATTGTGTATTTTGATGTGCTGCTTGAAAATTCTACTTAAGTAGGTGCTCTAAGGTAAACTCTGTAGAGAATATAGATGATGAAAATGAGATTTTTTTCCTTCCACAGCAGAAACAAATTGATTTCCTTTCTCTCGCCATTCTTTTTGATTAGCTGCTCCAAGTCACATTTCTTTACTGCTTCTGCCGACAGGATGAAGGAAGTTTAGGGGCATACTTCACTAATTGGCATTTATCTGGTGTTTGTATGTAGTCATTTAAATTAGGTTTTCTGAGAACCCTGATCTTAATCCTGCTTATAATCACATTCTGTACCCTGACAAGATCTAGTGGTTTTACTTAAACTGCCAGGATTTATTGAATGTCAGTCCCTGTAGCCAAATGCTTCCTCTTCCATTAATAAATGAGTGCTTGCTTCCATGAAAACACAGTACTCCCTGAAGGGACAGTTATTTATTTATTTATTTTGTTTTTCTGGTTTAGTGATGGAGTAATGACATTTAGAATGCTTTGATATCCATACAGGCGAATAAAATTTCCCTTTGAATAAAAGAAATGCAATAAAACTATTACTTTCCTGCAGCAATGGTAACTACATAGTTCTGTTGCAGTGGGCTACTGTCACTGGAACGGCTTTCAGGGCCAGCCACAGTAGGAAAGTGGACACAATAAGATACTGATTTTCATTCTTTTAGTTATTCTTTGGGAGCTGGGAATCTTAATTTTTTTCCCTCCAAATTATATATTTTCCCAATGAATAATTGGGGGAAGGAAGGAAAGGAAAAAGTTTCATTATGTGTTCCTAAAAAAAAAAAGCCCCAAACCCAGAAGAGCCCCAAACCATGTGTAAATCTAAGTGGACTTAACCCACAATACATTTAAATATGGGTTTGTCATTAATAGTGATCATGGGTTCCTGGAAAGTTATGGAAGGTAGACTCTCTGCTTTTATAGGATTTTTCGAAATGAAGAACTTGTGTTTACTAATATACCCTTCCAGTACTTTTCTGTGAAAGATGACACATTTATGGTGTGAGGGAGGGAAAATGTCACAGCATCTTTTTGGGTAAAACAGTTTTTCTAGGCTTTTGTTGGTAGCCGTGGAACCAGCAGTTTGCTGCTAGCCTATCCTACTTCTCTGTCTTTGCTCTGGGCCCACTGGGGCAGAGACATTGAGTGTGTGTGTGCAGATGTGGGGGGGGGGTACATGTAGGTGACAGAAGTTGGTGGTAGGAGGGCAGGAACATTTTCTGAAAATGCTATTCCCATTGAGGGCTTGAAGCATAGGTGTGATTTGGAGTTCTAGTTAGACTAACCGATCTGCTGACATTGTTGGTGTCTGGGGAAAGGGCTTGGTTAACCACTCTGCTACGGCCAAGTCTTAGTTTTGATCCCTTGTTAGTTCTGTTGTGTTGCTCGAACTTGAGTCAGACCTGTTGGCAGCCAGGCTTATTTTGCAGCAAATAGACCAGATGAGAGAGAGAGAGTTGCTATATCAGAACACATCCATTACCTCTCTTGGGAAACCGACTTTAGTTTATTCCACAACAGCAGCGTCATCTTTGTATAGGAGAGCTAGCCTGCTGTGGAAGAATTACACTTTGATGCATGGCTGGGGGGCGTGTATGCATTTGCTGCTCCTTTAACCACTGGTTTGATTTCAGACTCCTGCTTTGAACTTGCTCTGGGAGAGGTGTTGCAGTGATAACGTAGTGGTTCGAACAGCCTGCTGCGAGGGCCTGGTGGCACTTGTTGCGCAGGATCAAGCGGAGTTCAGCTATGTTCTCAATGGGATACTCAACCTGATTCCATCGACCAGGTACTTCATGTCTGATTAGTTAACAGTTTAAATTTTTAGGGGAAAAAAATTCACTCATTTCCATTAAGGGTCAGCATTTACCCTACTTGCCAGTTGTTTTTCTTTCTCTTAAAATGTCATGCGGTTGATATTTCATAGGTGATGAGAACATACTAGTTTAAACTCTACAGTTTTGGAATTTGTGGACATTTGCTGCACTTAAGTTTTTTGACTCTACTTAAATTTGTCACTGTTCTTTTTATGAAGAAAATAGCTAAGTAGTTAAGAATTCACAATTGCAGTGCAGATTCCTGACTGACTTTGAGAAAGAAGGTTGCCTATAGGCGCTGCTTCCGCAGTGGGCAAGTTTATGCAGTCCTGGGAATACTTTGGCCTTGGTACATGTATTAGAAAATAATAGCACCAACCTCTTTAAAAGTACTCTGTGATTTTGACATGTCTTCCCCTGATTATTATGCAAATAAATAATGTATAGTTTTTTTGAATTTGTTTGGTATGACTGCATTTAGCCCATTCACAGACTGAGCATAGTGGAATGACAGGGCTAAAGGGGCATATGCCATTTTGAGGTGGTTGAACTGGACCATGTTTGAACCATCCTGTGGAATTAAGCCTCTTATAAAATACTCCTTGGAAAAAGATGCTTCTCTTTACTTTAAGAAATGGTCTTGCCCGGCCGGGCGTGGCTCAGCGGTTGAGCGTCGACCTAGGATCCAGGCAATCGGGGTTCAATTCCCGGTCAGGGCACATGCCCGGGTTGCGGGCTCGATCAATGACTCTCTCATCATTGATGTTTCTATCTCTCTCTCTCCCCCTCTCCTTTCCTCTGTCTGAAATCAATAAAGATATATTAAAAAAAAAAGAAAAAAAAGAAATGGTCTTGATTTATACCCCCTTAATCTTGCCTTCTTTAAGTCATTCGGGCTCCCACCTCCTTCTCCCAACTCTTACCAGTGTTTTTTATTCACTTTTATTGCAGTGTCATCAGAATTGAATCCTTAAATTTTTGTTTTTTGCTTTCAGTGGCGGGGAAAAAGTCAGTCTCATTGTTGGGCAGAACAGTTTTTCTATCAATCTGTGGAAGATGCCTTCCTGGGCTTGAAGTGTGTTAGGTTAAATAACCTCTGGCCTTTTAAATACCTTTCTTCATAAACCTTACTTTGTTTCCTTGAATCATCTCTTTACATGTTTTTGGAACCTTGCTTTTTCTTTATATTCTTCTGTCTACAATTGTAAGTCCAAACTCTTTAGTGTGGTACATGCCGTTCCCATCCTCCCTGCAGCCTGTGTTCAACCCGCAGCTCTTGCCATGACCCCCCAGCTGTACACAGCTGTCCCCTGGCTGAGCCCTGGTGTGTTCTTCCTGCTCCCTTCGGTCTTCACCTGCGTCCTCAGAGCTCGGCGCAGGTGCCACCTTCCCGCCTAGACACTTCCCTCTCCTCAGCTGGGTCCCTGCTCTCTCACGGTACCCTTTTAGACCTGTGTTTTCCTATCTGGTGCACTCCTGTATCATCTTTCACAGAAGATGACCAAATATTTTTGAATAAGTAAGGATTTGATCATGACTGAAAACTTACTTTTTTTCTGCCTTTCTTTTTTTGTGTGTGCACATGCACACATATCATACATGCACACACACACACACACACAAATGCTTTTAGAAGGATCCCATTTTCTACCCATTTAAAAAAGTAGTTTTGAGGAGGCTTTTAAAAAGTTAAGTTTTAATGTGTCTTTTTTTTTGTAGCTTATTGGCTGCCCTTAAGCAAGCTACCTAGGTTTTGCCTTACCCCTTTTTTCAAGCGCAGGTAATGGTATTTGTTCCCCCCTAAATAGCTTTCAAATGCCTTAAAATTCACAAATATAAAATCCACTTGTGTTGTGTTGTTGTACCATTTATATTTAAAAGCAAGAGTATCAGCAGCTTAGGGAGCCAGGGTAATGTCTCTGTCAATGTAAGGGATATCAGAGCAGGTTAGATTATACCTTTAATTCTAGAAGATCATATTAGAAAATCATGCTGCTGTGAGATATTCTTTACATGCCAGTAAAATCCATTTTCACTCTTGTAAACTGAAAAACAAACTTTGCTGATACCGAATCAGCAGCCCATCTGTATATATTATAATGTCAGTAACCTTAGATTTTTTTAAAATTTAAAAATGTATTTTTTGAATAGAAATGCATGCTAAAAAATTCAAAAGGGTGTATGAGACAAAGTCTCTGTCTTATTACCCTTTTAAAGGTGTTGTATGTACATGTAACCAAAAACTGATGTGTACATATTTCTCTTTAAGGAAACTCACAGAATGAGCAGTCCGCTGTACACAGTATTCTTTATTTTGCATTTTTCATCAAAAAATATGTCTTGGAGATCATTTCTTAATATACATAAAGTGCTTTTTAATTTTCCCAGCTACATTATATTCCATTGTATGAATGTGCCATAATTTACCAATTTCCTATTGTTTTCAGTTATTTGCAACTATAGGCAGTGCTTCAATGAGTAATGTAATCTTACACATATAGGGGACCATTAGTTTTCAGAGGTCTTTGGATATAGAGGAAAGCCTTGAATTTTATAGTATGCAAATATAGGAATTTTAATAATTGGAGTATCTTGGAAAAATTTTTTTTACAAAAGGTTTCTTATCTGACAATGTTCATGTTGTCTAAATTGTTAGCCATAGGGAGATGGTGACAGAATAGACCCTGCAGCTAAACAATTTAATTTTTTAATCAGTTTGATAATGTAATGTGTTATACAAGTGCTAAGTTTTCTTTATTGTTGCCAGTAGAAGTAATAATTATATGTGAAGAATTTTCTTCATTTGGTTTATTTCAAGTAGCAGAGCTGTGTGGTTTGTGGCAATTACAAAGACTATACATTATTGTCTTTAAAAAAAGCAAAGTGAGAATTAAATTTAAGAAATTAAACTAAATTTAATTAAAAAACAGGTGATCCAAATAAGCTCCTCCTCCAAATGCTGCGCGGGGAACCTTGAGACAGAAAACCACCTTTGTCTTCGGGATCTAAAAGCAGGAATGGCTTTGTCACTTGCCTGTCCTTCTTGGCTGAGACATTCTGTATCTTCAGTTTCCTGTATTCTAATTTCTACTTGTCTCTGGAAGTCTCTTTTTAAAATAGAGGTTTATTAGAATCCAGAGGCACCTTGGGAACAGAGTCGCCCAGTTTTGATGTAGAAAGTAATTCTAAAAATTTATTTTCATTTTGCCTACCTACAAGCCTAACATCCTTTGGGAACAGAGAGAAAGCAAGAGAGCTAAAAAGTGCTTGG